TACAAGTATTGTTACTGCTACCATTGTCTCTATTGCTTCTATTAGTGGTACAACTCCAAAAATAATGATGTTAATAATCATGATAGAAATGTTACATTTTTAAAATCTTTTACTGCTATTTTTGTTTATGTTAATTTCATTATTAATCTCATTAGTATTGGCAATAATGTCAGTATCATTTTCATTATCATTATCATTCATTAGTAGTAATAGTAGCAGTAATATAACTATCGATATCATTAGTAGTAGTAGTACTATCATTATGCAGTAGTAGTAATAGAAATAGCAGTATAGTAACTATAAGTATCATTACTAGTAGTAGTACTATCATCACCATCATCATAACCATTATCAATTTAATTATCATTATCATCCCTCTTATATATGTTGTAAAATTTTTCCATTATTGTCATTTTTATTCATTATTGCTATTATCATTATTGTTATAAGTGTTATTGTTCTTATTCTTGTTATCATTATTGATACTATTATTGTTGTTGTTAGTATTAATAGTAGTGGTATCATGATCATCATTATTTATTATCATCATCGTCATCATTATTATGATTAATATTTTTATTATGTTGTTGTTTTGTTCCTTTTATCATCTTCATTTATATTGTTCGCATAACCATCATTATCATTTTCATTATTATTATTACAAATATTAATATTATTATCATTACTACCATTATTATTATCACCTTGATCATTATTACTATCATTATTAGTATTACTATCATTATTATTATTATTAACAGTATTGTTTATCATCAATATTATTGTTGCTGCTGTTATCAATATTATTATCATTATTATCATTATTATTATTACAATCTATCATTATCATTGCCATCGCTGCCATCCGAACAACAACAACTACAATAACAGCGCCACATCGCCCCGCCTCCTTCCTGAACGCCCGCCTCTCCCCCCAGGTTTCATAACCTCGACGGAGCTTGGGATCTACAACCTGGTCCCCAACACGGAATTCAACACCTACTGGATCCCCTGCACGTGGTTCACGGCTCTCCTCAAGGACGCCAAGGCTCAGAAGAGGATTACGGATCCATTAGGGATCAAGCATATAATGGAGGTAGGAATTTGCCCGTCCCTTTTCTCTTTGCCTTTAGTCTTTTTCCCTGTCCCTCGTCCCCTTTGATTTAGGTATTTTTTCCTCTCTCTCTCTCTCCATTATTCTCGTCTCTTAATCTTTTTTTTTTTGTATTGTTTAGTCTTTTTTTATATATATGATCTCTTTTTTTACCTTTTTTTTAGTTCTTGTTTACCCGATTGCCTCTTTCCTCTCCTCTCCGATTTCCCGGCCGCCATTTTTTCTTACCCATTTTCGACCCATTTTCCCGAAGACCCGATGTTGTAAATCTTTCATTTTCAGTGTCTATTCTGTCTCTTAGAATCAAACATATAGTAAAATAACAAACGCTTCAAATATATTATTTTTTGTGCCTTTGCTTTCATGTTTGTATCAATGTCAATTTTTTTATATATGTTTAATTTTGCTTCATGCACAATAGATTACATAGAGTAGCTATTTATGATTATTTTTTGGTCATATATATATATGAATTAATATTTCACTTGCATGTTATATGGAATTATTAGATGAAAGCACCACTACCTATTCATGTATTTATTATTATTATTATTATCATTGTTTTGATGATTATCTTTTTTCTTCTTCTTTTCTGTAGGTTTTGATTGTTTTCAATTATTATTATTATTTTTGCATCCATTGATAAAGTGTTCCCTAGCTCCCGCTTCATCAAAACCCTTTCTAAACTGTAGAGCAGTTTCTCCAAATCTAAATAAGAAGAAAAGTATTATGCAAATTAAATCAAAGGCAAAAACAATCGGCGAAGAATGCAATTGGAAAAAAAGTGAAATTCAAAACCAAAAGCACATCAATTGTATTAAAAAGCGAGGACTTTGGCTGGGCTTGTAGACCTTCCATTGCTTTCCAGAAAAAGAAAAAACATGTGTTGTCTTGTGTCCGCGTTGTGCCATTATGGCCTTTTCTCCGGCGATATATTGCTGTTAACCGCCCTTATGTCTACTCGTACTATGTTATCGAGTTACCCCATGTGCTTTAATTTTTTTATATAATCTATTTTTCCCTCTTCTTTTGTTTTCCTCTTTTTGTAACCGGGAAGATATTTTTCTTTTTCTCCTTTTTTCTTCTTTTTTTATATAAACTGCCATTTTTCAAATTCCAATGAAGCTAGCAACAGTTTAATATAAGATATAAAATCGAAAAATTATTCATCACCAAAAAATCATATAACTATTTCAGTTTTGTTAAATTGTCTATCATTACATGGCAATAAGCTATTCACTTCTATCTGATAAATAAGAGATCAAATTAAAATATATAAATTGGAATTCATTAGAATATAAATAAAAGCTGGGAGGGCTGCCAGTGTTTACTTTTATTTAAAACCCCATTTAAGTCCAATATACTACATACTAATTTGAATATGGG